CCTTCTGTTCTTGCTCTTTGCTCAGCACACAGCCTATGATCTGTGACCGCCTCTCACCAGCCACACCTAGGTTCAAGTCTCCTCCTCTGTGACCTAGCTCTGGGGCAGGAGCTACAGAGTTGCTGGTTGGATTTTCTTTCTGGTCCCTGCACAGTGTCAGACCTGGCCCTGCTGAATTTAGGATCTCTTCTTGCTCCAGTGTATAGCCACAGACCCAGTTCAGTTCCTGTAATAGAAGGCTCCAGGTAGTGCCCTTCCGGCTACACTCTGTCTTCTGTACCCCAGACATCTCTCTATCCCTATGCTGACTTAGGCTGGAAGAATGACTCACTATTTTTCACTTGTATTTCTCGACTTGGTCTGATGCTCTTTCTAGCTCACCTCTCTGGATTTTGGTTTATCTAACTGTAAAAAAGAAGTCAGATTATTTGACTTCAAAGGTCCTTTCCAGTTCTAAATCTTTGATTTTATAATACTGCTTTTATATACTGCTTCCTTGTACTCTCCATTTCCGTTGGTCTCCTATGGTGTCCCTTCTGACAACATCCCTGACAAGTGGTAATTCAGCTCCTGCTCAAATACCTCCAGTGACAAGATGCTCAGTACCTCATAAGACAGCCAATTCCATTTTCGTATAGCAAGAATAGTTAGGAGGTCTTCTTATTAAAATAATAAGGTACTGAAAGAACTGGTGGATGTGTTTACTGGGCTGTCGTCAGTGATCTTTTGAAAGATTATAGAGACAGCTATCTTATTTACTTCAAGGCCGCTCTTCTCCAAGTCGAATATTCTTACTACCTCCAACTGATCCTCCTAAGATTGGTTTTCTTGACCTTTTACTGTCTTGATTGTGACCTGGACATGCCCATGTTGTGTAGTGGAAAGAATACTGGATTTGGAATTGGAAGCCTTGAGTTCAAATCTCAGCTCTGCCATTGCATCTTTTTTTTTTTTTTTTCCCGGCAATTGGGATTAAGTAACTTGGCCAGGGTCACACAGCTAGTAAGTATCAAGTGTCTGAGGCTGGATTTGAATTTAGGTCCTCCTGACTCAGGGCCGGTGCTCTATCCACTGCAGCGCCCCCTAGCTGCCCCCACTACATCTTTTCTAAAATGTACTCAAAATTGAACCAAAAACTCCACGTGTGACCTGACAAGGGCAGAGCATAACAGACCAATCACCTCCCTACAGCTCTCTACAGCCTAGGATAGTGTTAGATATTTTGACTTCCACATCACATTGTTGGTCTATTCATAGCCTCAGATCTTTTTTCCCCTCAGTTTTATAGCATTCTTTTGTAATGACACAGTAAACTGTCCTATTGTAATATCAGCAGATCTTTTTCACAGGACCTGTTGTCTATTCATGCCTCCCTTGAAGCTCAAGTAGAGAATTTTTCATTTATCTCTACTACATTTTGCCTTAGGTGATGTGGCTCATTGTTCTAACCAGGTGATGTCTTTTTGTATTCAGACTCATTCATCCATATTAACTTTCCCTCTAAGGCAGCTATGGCATAAAGGAAAGAACATTTGCTTTGGAGTCAGAGGACCAGAGTGCACCTCCCAGCTCTCTGCTTCTCACTGCCTGTGGGACCTTGGGATAGGTATTTCACCTCTCTGGACTTTGGTTTTTCCACCTGTAAAAAAGGAGTCGGATTACTTGACTTCAAAGGTCCTTTCCAGCTCTAAATCTCTGATTTTATAAGCTTTGCGGTCCTCTGCAGATTTTACTATGCCTTCATACAAGTCATTGATAAAAAATGTTCTGCAATACAGGACCAAGGTCTCATCCCTGAGGCATTCTAATGGAGACAATGGCATTGACCCGTTGATGATTACTCTTTGGATCTAGTCATTCAACTAATTAAAAAACATCTCTATCTGTACTAATATCTCTCTCATATCTTCCCTTTTATCCATAAGCATAGCACAAGAAACTCTCAAATACTCTGAAATCTAAGTAGACTTCATCTGTAACAGCCACTGCTCAACCAGTCAAAAAAGGAAATGAGGTTAGTATGGAATAATCTGTTCTTGACTAAGCCATGCTGGCTTTTAGTGATCATGTCTCATGTGAATATATGAACCTCATGATCCATCCCTTTAATAATGTATTCTAGAATTTAGTCAGCAATAGAAGTCAGCTCACTGCCCTTCAATTTCAGAGTCTATCTCCTTTCCTTTTTTCCCTTTCTTCACAATTAGTGTACCATCTTCCCAGCTCCAGGCCTGTGACTCCATTCTTGTTCTCCAGGATGACAACTGCAAGTCCTTTTAGTAATTGTAGTTCATCTTGGCTTAGTGATTTGAATTCATCAAGGACAGTTAGGTACTGTCTGTCTCCTCATTTATTTGAGGTTTCCCCTCCTTGCTAACCATTTCCCCCCTCTCCTTCTCAGTTCTATTGGCACAATTGAGTTACTCTCTTAATTTATCAGATTTTTTTCCTGAACAGTTGTCAAGGGAATCTCACTACCAAGAATACAGTAATGTCATTTTAGATGTACGTAATCAGTTAGAAACCGATGAGAGCTCTCGGATTCCCCGCTTGGGCTCTCTATCCAATGTTGGACAACTCATAAAAGAATTAAGACAGACACCAAATACCTCATTTCCTTCCTCTGGGTCTGCCAGTTAAGAATGCTGTGTCATCTTAGCAAGGGCTTTTCCTGTCTGTAGCGATCATATAAATGAGCTAGTTAGTGCTGCCTTGAGAGCATAGCCTAAAACTCTATTACATGCCAAATAGGTTTGCAATGCCTCTTCCTACCTCCCAAATCCAATTTAAATGTTTAGGCAAGGGTAGCTGGGCCCTAGGCAAAAGTGTTTATAATGGCTTTTTTTTTCTTTCCTCTGAAATCACTTATTTCATAATTTCTTACAATGCCATAATATCCCATGACATTCATGTACAATTTGTTCAACCATTTCCTAATTATCTAAAAGGCCATCAAAGGCACCCTTCTCCTTAGATT